AGCTGAGAGCACCGTCGCCAGTATCCCCGCCGGCGTAGCCTAGGGTGCCGACGCTGGCATCCTCGCCAGCGCAGCCGAGAGAACCGACGCCAGGGTCATCGTCGGCGTTGCCAGGAAAACCGCCAACGCAGCCGACAGCACCGACGCCAGCAGCCTCGCCAGCGCGACCTGGATCACCGGCGCCTGAGAGATCGCCCGCACGTCGGAGGGCACCGACGTCAGCAGTCTCGCCATCGCAGCGGGGGGCGCCAGCGTCAGCAGCCCCGCTGGCTCCAGCAAGACCGACGCCAGCATCCTCGGCAGCGCAGCCTGGATTCACCGACCCCGGCATCCAAGCCAGCGCAGCCGCGACCTCCGTCGTCAGCGTCCTCGCCCGCGCACCCGGGGGCACCGACGTCGGTGCCTTCGCTGGCCAAGCTTGGGGCATCGACGCCAGCGTCGTCTCCAACGCAGCTGGGAGCACCGATGCCAGCATCCTCGCCAGCGCAGCTGGGGGCATCGATGCCACCATCCTCGTCAGCACAGCCCGGGGCTCCGAATCCTCGCGGGCGCAGCTTGGGGCACCGCCGCCAGCGCCCTTAACGGCGCAGCGGGGGGCTCCGACGTCAGCGCCCCCGCCGGCGCAGCCAGGGGCGCCGATGCCAGTATCTGGCGGCGCAGCCTGGGCCGCTGATGCGGCATTTTCGCTGGCGCAACAGGGGGCACCGACGCCAGCGTGACGGGCGCGACTGGCATCAGCATCTTCGCCAGCGTTGCTTGGGGGCACCGACGGCCGCATCTTCGTCGGCGAAGCCAGCGGCGCCGGCGAATGCAATTTCACAGGTGCAGCCGAGAGCGCCTTCTCCCACATCCTCGCCAGTTCTGCCTGGATTGCCGACGCCAGCATCATCGCCAGCGCAGGTCGGGCCGTCGACGCCAGCATCCTCGCCGCATCAGCCGGGGTTGCTGGCGCCAGGATCTCCTCCAGCGCAGCCAGGGGCACCGGCGACATCTGCCTCGCCAGCGCAGCCGAGAGCACCGACGCCAGCACCCTCGTTAGCACGGCGCGGCGTGGGCCCCGTCGCCAGCATCCCCGCCAGGGGAGCTGAAAGCCCTGACGCCAGTATCTTCGCCCTCGCAAGTGGGGGCGCGGGCGCCAGCATCCTCGCCTGCGAAGCCGCGAGCTCGGACGTCTTCATCTTCGCCGACGCAGCCAGGGGCGCCCCGGTGCCAGCGCGCTCAGCAGCGCAGCCTGGACCACAGACCCTGGTGTCCAAGCCAGCGCAGCCGTGGCCTCCGTCGTCAGCATCCTCGCCCGCGCACCTGGGAGCGCCGACGTCGGCGCCCCCGCCTGCGCAGTTGGGGGCGCCCGCGCCAGCGTCGTCTCAGCGCGGGCGAGGAGCGCAGGGAAGGGGGTCGCAGGAGGTCGAATGCGCCCGCGGGCTGGCGAGCGGGATTTTGGGGGAGGGGCGCCACCTGCCGCCGCGGTTGGACTCGCTTCGAGATCCCAGTCTGAGCGCGCCCCCGGAAACGCTGAGCCGGCGTTGTCCCACTCTGATTCTGCCGGCGCGCGCGTGATTCCTAAAGTAGAAATGCCGGCGAATTGAGCGGCGAAGATAAGCGCGCCTGCGACGGCCCGCAGGCGGCCGGCCACCCTTGCGGGCGCGTTGCTTCTCCCCGCGCTGTTCTGGCCTGTCGCCGCCCTGGTGTTGACGAAGCGGTGGGTGCGATTTTTTCTTCCTTCCCACGGTGCTCCATCTGTTCGCCGCTCGGGGGGCAGCGCTGCTTCCGCGCCCCAGGGGGCAACTGGCGCAGCAATCCGCGGGGAAGAAAGCGGCGAAAATATACGTGCCTGCGACGGCGTGCAGACGGTCGTCCTTCTCCGCGAGCATGGCGCCACTTCTCGTCGTGTCCTGGCCGTGCCCATGAGGATGCAGTGGGTGCCGTTTTTCCTTCTTCCCACGATGCGCCAGCCTTTTGCCGCCCTGGGGGCGACGCGCTTCCGCGCCACAGGCGGCGCGCGGGCGGGCGCCGCGGCCGCCGTCGCCCCCGCAGAGACAGACGCCGCCGCTATCTGCCGCCTGGTGGTTGGAGGTTGGCGCGCGCCCCTGCTGGGCAAGGACGACGCTCCCGCGGCGGGGGGGCGGCGCGCGCCGCCGCCCCTGGCCCTGGCCCCGCCCGCGTCGCCGGGCGAGCCGCCCCGCGCCGGCGGCGCGCTCGCCTGTCCCAACAGCCTTGGGCCCCGCCGGTGGCGGCCGACGCCCCGCCGTCGCCTGGCCTCGACGGCGCTCGAAGAGCCGATCCCCGCCCACGCGGGCCCTGCTCAGCGCCCTGGCCTGGGCGACGACGTCCAACGGCCGCGACGCCGCGGCGGGGCAGGGCGCGGGGGCCCAGGCCCTCCCGGGGCCGTGCCGACGCCTCCCTCGCCCGACGCCCTGGCCGACGCATCCGTCGAGGTCGCGGCGGACGGCGCCCCCGCGGGCGCGACGTCGGTGGGGGCCGCAATCGGCCGCCGAGCCCCGCGCTCGCCCAGCCCCGGCCCTCGCCCGCCGCCCCCGTCTCGGCCCTGGGGCCGATCGCCGCCGCCGAGCGGGCGGGCGGGGCGGGCCGCGGCACGGGGGGCGCGGGGGAGACCAGAGAATGGCCAGGGCGTCGCGCGACAGCCATGGCAGGGGGCGCCGACAAGCTGCACGAACGCCCTCGCAGGCTGATCCCCTGCGGGCCCCTTCATGTCATGGCGAGACACTTGGCGACTGCGCCAAACGGCGCCAACGCGAGGTCGGGCCAGCGTTTGTCAGTGGTGGGCACGAAATCTGCGCGGCGCAAGACGAGGGCAGGCTGCGCGCCACCTTCGACCTGCGGGGGCGGTCCGCTGTCCAATGCTAGGTCATTCCCCAAGGGCCGGCGACCGCTGGACACAGCGTTGCGGGGCGGGCCGAGCGAGAGGGCGCGGCGCTGCCGCGGCACCAGCGCGGGGGGCCGTCCGCGGGCCCCGCCGGGGACCTTTGACCCTTGGCGCGGTCGCTGCGCACCTGGCCCCAATACCTAATTCGCTCTGCGGTTGCGTGGCCCTGGTCTTGCCCGCCGGCGCCGCGTCGGCAACGGCGGCCCTGCCAGTGGCGCGCCCCGCTTCTGTCCCGCGGCGTCTCTCGTCGGCCTGGTCGCGCGCCCCTGCGGGTTCTTGCCTGGTCGTCGGTCACCGCCCAACACCGTGCGCCCCGCGTCGCCCCCGCGCGGTCGCAGCCTCGGGGCCGCCCCCGCGCTTCGTTTCCTGGCTCGGCGCTGGCGCTTCCAGCGGGGTCGCCTTAGTTGCCGTCTTCGCCCAGCGTCGCCTTCCTGGTCGCGCTCGTTTGTTCTCGGCTTTCTTCTGCGCAGTCTCCGCGCCCCTGCGCCTGCGCCTGCTCGCCTCTTCGGCTGGGCCCAGAATGTGCGCATTGTCGGCGCTCGTTCACTTGGCGTTGATTTCCTGGGCCGTCGTTGTCGTCGTCGTGCTCTGCGCCCCCAGGTTCCGGCTCTCTCCGGGCATCGCCTCCCGGAAAGTTTCGCCATCCCCGGCTGCCCTCCTGCTTGGCCGAGTTACCTGGGCCATCAGGCTAGCGGCCACTACGAGTTTTGCGTGTACCCTGTCAAGTTCCCCCCCTTTCCTGTCAACCGGCCTCGTCCGCCCGCTGCTCGTAGCGCGGCCGCGCTGTGGCGCGTCCGCGACGGCCTGCGCGATCTGAGGGGCTCTATCTTCTCTCCCCGTCGGTTCCCGCGCGTTCCGTCGTGCCTCAATTCGTTTCCGGCGCGTCCCGCCCGTGGCCCGACCGGCGCTTGCACCCGCTTCGGCTCGCTTGCGCCCGCTGACTTGACAATGTGGAAGGGTTATAGTATGTGTTTCGTTACCAGGGCGGGGCGGTTCGTGGCCAGCCCCAGAGTCGGTCATTTGTCATTTGATAGTATCCCATATGGTGTTCTGTATGGTCTGGTCTCCCGCGTGGTCTCCCCCACGGTTTCCCCGACGTCGCCCCCATGGTCTCCCGTATGATATTCTTGGTGCGCTGTACAGTGCAACGCTATCTTTCTTCTTTCCGTATGCTGTTGTGGGTCTTACGCCGCCAGTTTGTAATCGCACCGTCTGTTGCTGCGCCTCCGTTGGTAGAACATGTCGTATCCGTTGTCGCTGATGTGCTCGATGGCCAGGTTTTCATGCCAGCGTGGAGTTGAAATTCGGCGGTGCGACATTCCCGTCGTCATCGATCCTCCTCTGAGGAGTCGTGCCCTTGTTGTCCGTCATGGCGTCACGATGCGCAGCGCCTCGCTCCACACCAGTGTGCCATAGGCTTGTGGTTCATATCATTGCGAATGCCAGCCGGGTGTTTACGAGATGTGCGGTGAGTGTTGGTGAGATTCTTAATGGAGGAGCGCGTTCCCTGGTAACTCGGCTTGTAAGCGTGTGCCTGGTCCTGAACCAAAGGTAGCTAATGAGGTATTTTCCCAGTGAGCGACGAGGGCCGGCCAATCGGAGAAATCCGGATTCCCCCTTGTCCTGCACATTTCTTCCCCCGCTCTCTTCCCCCTTTCCTTCCCTGTTGCCCCCCCCGTTTCCATGCCCCTGCAATTTTCCGTCCTGATCTCCCATCTGGTTGCCCCGACCCTGGCCTCTCCCTTTCCCTCTGCCATCAGTTGATGGTCCATTCCCTTTCTCCCCCTTTTCTTTGCCCCTTTCGCCCCGCCAGCCCCCTGTCCATTCCTTCCGCCGCGTTGTCCTTATCCCACGATGCGTGCAACATGCCGCTCCCACTCCCATTCCTTCCCCCCCCTTTATATGTCAACATCCTTTGCCCTTGATCGGCGCATCCCCTCCCCTCCCCCCCTGTCTTCCGCATCGCCCGTCCCCCCGCTCTCCCTTGCCCTGATTTCCGTTCCCCTCCCCGACCCGTGTTCCGCTCCCGCTTGCGTTATCCTCCCCTTCCCCGTCGCCCTTGCATCCCCCTCCCTATCACCATCTCCTTTGTCTCACGTGCCCTCCACCGGCGCAGGCAAAGGCGGCAGCGAGCCAGCTTTCCATTACTCCCACGCCAGCAGCAGCCACTTGTTCCACAATCCAGGACCCTGCTACGGTTTGGCGGGCACGAGTGGTCACTTGCTGACGATAGGGGAAGGGCGAGGAGGCAGGGGAAGAGAAGGAGGAGGCGGAGGCGAACAGAGAGGAGGAGCAGGAAACAGAGGAGAACAAAGGGAGGGATGAGAAGACGAGCAAGAATGGAGGCGGAGGCGGGGTAGAGAAGATGGTGGAGGAGGAGGAACAGGAGGAGAAAGAGGAGGAGGAGGGTGACGAACAGGCGCAGGAGCAGGTTCAAGCTCAAGCTTGCAGCTGGCTAGAGCTGGCTAGTTTCCTAGACACGCAAACTCCCGTTCGATGTTCGCGAAACCGACCTGCATGAATTCGCCGTTGGAGTGCGCAGCAGGCGCAACATCATATGATTCAGGAACGGTGACACGGCCGAGGCCTGCGACTGGCCTCCTCGTGGTCCGCGCGATGTCCTACTGCTGGTTGTGCGACTGACCTGTATGCAGGCCACCCCTTCGACCCTTCGACCACCTGCACGGTTCTAAACTTGGGGCGCTGGCACGGCCGTTGGTGGTGGCTGCCAGTTCTACCTCCCAGTGCTGATTGCTGACCTGCCCTGCGCTGCACGCATGTTCCCAGTGTCGCTCCCGCAGGCAGAGCTTGACGGGGCTGCGTCTTGGTTTGGGGCGAGCCAGGTTCTTTCGGCTCCTGCCACTCGCCCTCGTTTCCTCCGCCTCCTCTTTACCTTCCTGGTCCGAAGTTTTTTGGACTGGAGCTCATCCTCCTGCTCCTCTTCCTCCCTCTCCTCTCCCTGTTGCTTCTCTGCCTCTTTCTCCCGGAGGCCTCTGCATTCTTGGCATCGGCCGCCACTTGTGGCTGAGGCGTTCCCTTCTCTATTCTCCTCCTCCTCCTCCTCCTCCTCCTCCTCCTCCTCCTCCTCCTCCTCCTTCTTTCCTCCTCCTCCTCCTCCTCCTCCTCCCTGTCCTCCGCCTCCTCCTACACAATCTCACGGGGGGTATGTTAGGTTTTCCCCACACTGTTGCCCGTGCCCGTTCCGCCTCGTGTTAAGGCCCAGTGAAGCGACCACCCCCCTTCCTTTAAGTTTCGTTCAGTGCGTCGCCCGAGCGTCGCCCGTGCGCTGGCCCTGGTTTGCGTCTCTGTCCCGAGTCCCGGCCTCCCAGAGTGCGTGGGCGACATCTGGCCCGACTTCGGAATTTCTCTGGCGATATATAGGTTTCCGACGCCGGTGCACCAGCAGCCATTTTGGCGGTCGCGGCGCACTCTAGTTCGACGGTCCACCAACGCGTTCTGTTCCCAATTCGGCGGAGGATTTGCTGATGCTCATTTTCGGGGGCGCCAACCGTTGCTGAGGACGAAGACGCCTCGCATTGATTGGGGGCTGTGCGCGTCGCGCCACGGCGGGGGTGACGTCACGTCGCGCGACGCGGCGCCACTTCGCCCCGTCGCATCGCGCCCCGCACCCCCATGTCGTTTCGCGCCAATCCTCCTGCCCCCCTCTTCCTTCCTCCTGCCCTCGTCCAACGCGCTGCGCGTTTTGTCCCGTTTGCGAAATTTGTATTCAGTTCTTTTGTGTCAGGCTGCCGTCCTGTCCGCCTCCCTACTCACCCCCCGTTGTCCTTCCACCCTCCTAGAACTTCTTCTCGCCCGCGAGGCGGCGCCTCGTGGGCGCTTCGCGGGCGCCCCGCACTCGGGGGATCTGCCGCCCGTGCCGCCTCGTGGGCACACCGCGATCGACTCATTCGACGAGGGTTCCACCACACAGCTCACACCACACAGCTTGGCTCAAGCTTGGCTCAAACTGGCTCTGGGGAAGCAGGGCTTTTCACCACGCCAGTTCTCCTGGGCCCCCTTACAGCATTTCCCCGTGCGAGCCCCCCCGATCCGCTTCCCTTGCCATAGAGGGCCGCTGTCGGGCCTGCGTTGCCCACAGCGTCGACGGGCCTGACATGCCGGGCGGCTTCCTCTGCGAGGCCCACTTGCACGCACCTGCTCCGAGGCTAGCTGCGCTGGTCTCAGACCCAGCGGCCGAGGAGGAGGAGGAGGACGACGACGACGCGATAAACTCCGCGCAGGCCGAACACTCTGGCGCCACGCAGGGCATGGTGGTTCTGCAGATGGCACTTGCCGTCATCGAGACGCCCTCCCCTTTCGCGGCGATGATGGAGCATCAGATGCTCGCGCACTTCGAGCTCATCCAGGCGACGCACACGATCAACGGCCACACCATCATCCCAAGCTCCCTGGATTCCAAGATGTAGTTCGACCAGGTCCCGAAGGCGCTCGCGTATGCCCCCGACGCTGCCGACCCTTGGAGCATCCTTCGCCTGGCACCTTTGGAGGGCCCTGACATCCCCTGGAACACCATTGAGACACGCCTCCGTTTCGCCAAGCTGCTGGTCCCTGTGATCGACGGTGCGAGCTGGCCCGAGCAGGACAAATCCGACGCCCCCGCGTTCGTGCTGAAGTTCCCCCGCGCCGCCAACGCCTGCTTCGACCCCTTCGACGCGTGGGTCCGGGAGAGGAAACGATCACGCTCCTCCAGACTCCCCCGCTTGAAAGGAGCTGGCTGACCGCGCTTCGCACGTCGCGCTCGACACCGCTCATTGGGAACGGAGGTGGTGGGTACCCAGTGGTCGAATTTCCTGCGCGCTACGGCAGTGTCGACGAATCCGCACTACAGCACCCGAGTGGCGACGATGGGCGCGGCCCGCCCGCTGGCGGATCTCGCGGGCAAGGGGGGGCCGCCGTCTGGGACACGATCAAAGCCACGGGCAAGCCAGTCTAGATATGGGCCCCGTCCACTGCGTCGGCGCTGGGTCGATTGATGGCTTTCCTACTGCGCCTTGGCGCCAACGAGGCCCCATGCGACTGCATCCGTTCCCTCGCTTCGATGGACTTGCACCCGGCGTGCAACAGTGTTGAGTCCATCTGCGACTTGTGGTCGCACGAGCTCTTGGGCGACAAGTGGCCGGGTATGACCCGCAACATCGAGTTCCACCCGCAACCGCTCGAGGTCATCTCCCCTGGCCCTTCGGGTCCTCGCCGCGAGTTGCGCGGCCTGGCGATCCTCGCGATGATCGTCGCGATCCCTTCTTCGCTAGTCCGCCAGGCACCTCGAGCGCGCGACCTAGAGGCACCTATCTATCTTGTCGGTGGCGCCGTACTTCTTGGATGTCCCTCCGCCGTCGGCCCAAAGGTCATGCGCGTCCTGCGCGGTGGCCTGGATTCATCTGCGGCCGTCGGACGCATCTACCGCAGCCCCTGCCGCACGACCGAAACGCCCCAGAGCCGAGTAGAGAGTGGTTTCGCCAACCACGCGTTCTCCCTCATCAAGGATATGCTGTTGCGCCGCGTTCGCGGGCGTCTCCTAGTCGGCGTTTGTTGCGCCCCCATGGTCCACGGGCCATGGAGTTGTTCGCGGGCGCGGGCCCCCACTCAGCAGCCATGCGGACGCCGCCGACACCTTCTGGAACATGCGTTCGAGGGCAGTGCCCTCCTCGCCACGGAGGCCGCCCCCGAGACCTGGCAGACCACGACGGGCGCGAGCGATGCTGCGGCGCGACCCCAGCTATGCGACCTTCAAGCTCAAGCGTCGCCCCTTTCGCCAGAGGTCGACATTTCGCCGCCCCGTCTGCCCTCCGAGCGCGGCTGGCTGCCGCGCGCTGCGCCAAGCAGACGAGGGTAGGCTCGGCGACCCTCCCAAGCCATCGCGGTCGTCGAGATCAGGGAGCACTTCCAAGCAGGCGAGCATGCGCCGGTGCAGTCCCTCATGCAATATCTGATCGTGCAGGCGGGCTTCCACCACATGGAGCAGTCCACCACTGGGGGCCCCAAGATGAGTTCGTGGAAGTCGCCGTCGGCTTCGGGCCCTTCTGCGCCAACAGGCCGCGCAAGATCCTTCTTGGAGGCCCAGAGGGTTCGCGGCGGGCTTCGCGGCGAGAGCATCCGGGTGGGAGTGGGAATTTGTTCCAGGGCTCACGCGCGCAACGAGTTGCAGGACTAGGTCGGGGGTGAAGTCGCCACCTTGTGACTGGCCCACGTTGGGGCTATTGCCTGGGCCATCGGTGACTCAACTCAGACTTCGCGTTCCTTGTGTGAGCGTCGCTCTTTACTTCCGGGACCTCGTGCCCGCGAACTACCGCTTCAACGCCCGCGCCGGGGGTGCTTCGAATGCCGCCGCCGCTGTTCCCCAGCGTCTTCTTCCATGTCTGCGCCCCCCTCCAGACGAGCAAGGAGCGCACCTCCGCCAACGCCGCGATTGTCCACTTCCTCTTCCGCAGCGAGTCCATCTGAGCATCGAGCGCGCAGGCGCGTCGCGGCCACTAGTGGGGCAAGTTGAAGCGCGTTCTGAGGGGGCCGCGACGTCGTCGCGATCGCCGAGTCCCACGGCGCGATCAAGTCTTCGCAGCTTGCCCGGACCCCCCCCCCGCCCCCGGCGCCGCGACGCGGCGGGCCCCGAGCGCCTCTCGCCGAAACGGCGTCGACCGCGCCACCGCGCTCCGACTGGGCGGTCCGCTCGGCTCGACGGCGTCGTACATCTAGACGGGGGCCGTGCCGCGGCGCCCTCGCCATCGCCACTGGAGACTTCAAATGGGTCTCCGAGGGGCGGGGCGCATTGTCCCGGGCCCCCGGGGATGCCGCTGGAAAGCGGGGCAGCGAGGAGGAGGCGCGCCGGTCGCGCCTCCCGCCGGGTTAACCGCGCATGGCGCTCAGTTCCGCGCGGGCTCGCTCGCGCCTCGACCGCATCTGCGCGCCGCGGACCTGCTCGATCGACGCGTCGCGATCGGCGTGGGCGACTGGAACTTCCAGCTGTCCAACCACAGGGCCGATTGTTCTTCGCGGCGGCCGCCGCCGCCGCGGCCATCGACAGCCAGGCAGCCGGGCCCATCTCGGCGATTCTGGTTCGCCGCCCAAATTGGCCCCAAGCCACGGCGCTTCGATGCCGCACCCTCGTTGCGGACGCGGCGGGCGCGGGCGAGGTTCGGCGACTCGCCGCGCTGCGCCGGGCCATGCGAGGCGCTTCTGGCCCCTTCGAGGCGGCGCGCGCCGCCGCCAGGCCGCGGCGCCGGACGATGCGATGGGTCGTGTGATGTCCTTCGTCAGAGCAGTGGAATCTCGCGCCCTGGAAGCGATCTCGATTGCGAATGACAGGTGCCCGCAAATCTGCGCCGCGTCGCCCGAACCGCATGGCCCTGCGCCGGCGCTGGGAAGGGGGCTTGCCCAGGTCTCGGAGCACGCTGTCGATCTCACCCACGAGCGCGCGAGCGCGGGGCTCGCGCGCCTTCGCGAGGCGCCGTTCGACCTCGCAGTGGAGCTCATGTATCGCGCCCGCCAGACAAGCTTCGGGCTTTTGTTGCGGTTTTCGCGTGGGCAGGGGGGGGGCCTGCATCGGCCGCGCGCGGCCAGCATGGCGCGCCCCGCGCTCGCCCCGAGGAGTTCCGCTGATATTTGGGCCCATTGGAAGCAAGCGTTTGCGCGGGAGCCCACTGGCCGAGAGCGGCGGCGACGCCGACTTGAGGGCGACCCGCCCCCGCGCCCCCGGAGGTGCTCGAGTCGCCGCTTCCAGCGGGCCCCCTGGAGTGGCAGCGGCGCCGAGAAGACGCCCGGGCGGCCATCCGATGCCCGGATTCATCGGCCCCCGTGCCCGACGGCATTCCGGCCGGCCTGCCGCGAGCTCGGCGAGCTAGGCGTCGACGTTTTATTTTGAGTTTTTCCTTGCCTCGCCATCCCCGACTGGTTGGAGATGCATAGGCGCCATCTGCGCGACTTCGACGGCTCCTTGCTCCACGCCCCCCCCGAGAAGGAGTCTGCGTTCGACGACGAAATCGGCCGCTGCTGCGATGCCGACATGGCCCGGCCTATCAACGCGGTAAACTTCGACGACAGGATCGTCGCCCACGCCGCCCGACTTCGCCAGCTGTTTAATATTTAAGATTGGATCTCGGGGGTTCAGCGCCGGTTCGCGGGGGGCCGGTCTCCCCCGGCGAACGTCGTCGACGTTGGCGCGCAGATGCGCGCGGTCGCCTCGGCCCAGGGGGGCGGGGCTTTCATGTCGTTCGACTTCGCGGCGGCCTTCCCGTCGATCGAACAGACATTCGGCATCGAGTTGTTGAAGTGGATCGGCGCCCCGCCGTTCGCGCTGAATTTCGTCGCGGCGCTCTGCCAGGACAGCGCATATTAAAGTTACATGGTGGGCCACTTGTTCGAGGGTTTCGTTTTGACTGCTGGGGTTCGACTGGGCTGTCCGCTCTCTCCCGTGCTGTCGCCGTTGCGCCGCTGTCGCTGGTCGCGGGCTGTGAGCGCCCTCCACTTCGAGGGCTCCTGCTGCGACTCTGCAGCCGCCCCGTCCCAGGGTGGAGGTGGCGCCAGACCTTTCGCGCGCCGCGTGCGCGCCGCGACCTTCACCGCCGCGGAGGCCCGCGACCAGTGCCTCCGAATTCAGCATGGGGTACGCTGCTGACAGCGCAGCTTCGCCCCTGCGAGTGCTGCATGGCTTGTGTGCGGCGCCCAATTCGGGGGCCGTCTTTGGTTGCTCGCGCACCTCTGCGACTTCCGTCGCATTCTTGGGGCACCATGCGGGACAATCCTGCGCAGTGCCCGTCGCCCCCTGCAGCGCGCGTGGCTGGGCTCGACGAGGCCGACAAAGCACAGAGAAGATCGGCCCACCGCCTCGGCCAGTCACATGCCTTAGCTCGTGGCCCTGCCAGGCGAGCCAATGGCTCCGTGGTTGGGCGCGGCCGATTCTAGACGTTCCTCTCCTTGTACAGTGTTGTTGTTGACTTGATACGCCTCGCGCTACGCTGACATAGTGTATATATATACACATATATATACATACACATACATCTACCTATACGACCACCCTTCGGGTGATAAGGAGGTTGCGGGGGGGGGAGCCAACATCTGACTCAAACGATCTCACTACCACGGGACACCACGGGACATCACGGGACACTTGTCGATCTCACTATCGATCCCATTATCGATCCCACTTAACGGGACACCACCGGGCACCGCGGGAAACCTGGCGATCTCACTATCGGCGTCATTATCGATTTCTTTAATCGGTCTCATTCAACGGGACACCATATGACACCGCGGGACACCTCGGGACACCACATCGATCTCACCATCGATTTCACCATCGATCTCACTCAACGGGACACCACGGGACACCACGGGACACCTGTCGATCTCACTATCAGTCTCACTATCGATTTCACTCTTTGGGACACCGCGGGGAACCAAGGGACACTTCGGGGCACCACATCGACTTCAGTACCGAAGTTACTTACCATCGATCTCACTATCGATCTCATTCAGCGGGACACCACGGGACACCGCTAGGGCCACCGCTGGACGGACGGACGGAGGAAAAACATGTGTCTTGACTTCGCCCTAACAACGACGGGTTCATTCCTCCCGCGCGCCTACGCAGCTTCGCCTCGCCCGCACGCACGACACGAACAAAACGACACGATTTCCCGTTTGGGGGCCTCCGTTCTGTGTATGTTTGTTTTTTGTTTCTCTCTCTCTCTCTCTCTCCCTCTCTCTCTCTACATATGTACAATGTACATACACACATGTCTCTTCCCATATTTTTACAAGCCCGGGGGGGGGGAACCCGCACCCCCCCCCCCAAAAAAAAACTTGACCCCCGGGATCTTGGGTTCTCGGGCTCCCTTGGACGTCCTTGGAAAAAAGGTCACCCGGCTTTCCGGGTCTCCACAAACGCCTTGCCAGCAGACCCAGAGCGATCCGAGGGGTCATCAGAAAGGCTCAAGGGAGGCCCCAGACAGCACAAGAGCGCTCCAAAAGGGGCTCCAATTGCGTCAGGACGGCCCAAAAGACCCCCAAGGCACCCCAAAAAGCTTTCCAAGGGGCCTTCAAAGCACAAAAATCATCCCATGCCCGTCGTAAAACTTACAATTTTAGCATCTTCGCCTTTCGGATTTCATCACCTTTCAAGACGGTTTGAAAGCCCCCGAGATCGCCTCCAGACGCCCCAAAAGGCCCCCAAGAAAGCTTCAAGACGGCGCAAGGCATTTTGGCTCAAGTTTGGCGCAAGCACGTCATTATTTGAGTCATCCGTTTCTGCGGCACTCCAATATTTAGGTGTCTTGGCTTTATTGGGGCGTTATGCCTAAGCATCGGGGAGTACGATCAGCATCTTTCATAATGTACGGACTGGTTATGGGGGAAAGTAGTAAGTCGAAATCGAATGGCGCAACTGTTGTAATTCACGTTGGACCCCACAAGACCGGTACGACAACAGTTCAATACGAGTTGGCTCAGCGGGCGTCCCTGCTGGAAGAAGACGGTTGAACATTCCTGCGCCCTAGACAATTCGGAAGTTTAAGAAAAAGCGCGCAGCGGGCGGCTCAAATCGCCAACCTAGCTTCGTGCTATAGCGAGAGGAAGTTTGCTTCGGTTGTAAATCAAACCCAAATGTGTTTGGATTGGCTAGAGTACATTGACAAGCTCAGGGGTACCTCCCATCAAGTGGTGATGTCTAGTGAGCGTTTCGCCCATTGGACATGCCATATCGCGCAGCTCGCCTCTGATTTAAGGCACGTCGCTACCAAGATCGTCGTGGTTTATCGACCTTTCTACGAATGGATCGCAAGCATCTACCGGCAGGTGAATGCAAAAACAATTTCAAAAGCAGGTTTCGCTTCTTGGTTGACCGATTCAGTAATGGAGGAGTGCGCAGCAAATCTTTCTTCGACGTCAGTGTAAAGTAGATACGCGGCCCATTTTTCTGACGTAGTGATGCACAGCTTGAACTCCTCTCTTTTGGCAAATATTGCGTGCGATGACCTTGGAGCTCCGAGGGCTTGTGCTTTCTTCCAGGGAGCAAAGATGGCACACGCAAACGTCAAACGAAAAGAAGATTCAACAGGTGAATGTCTCAGCCCTGCACAGCGGCAAACAATGGAAACCATATAAGTTGATCTTCATCGGACGGCCTTTGGCATCTTTGTACCTTTTCCGGCTTCCGATTTCCATGACCAGCTTTCCAATTGTTTCGGCAACCGTTGAGCTAGAGTTTGGAGAGTCACGCCAGCAAAAGTCCGACCTAAACCTAATCGCTAAAGATGCTCCGCGGTGCAGTCGCAGCTGGGACCAGGCAGCGCGACCAACAGGCTGACAGCAGGACTCCGTCTCGCAGAGGTTTTGGCGGGATGCGAGGCCAACGGCGTCCAGCGGCATCACGAAATGTGGGCACGCCGCCGCCGACCTCGTCTTACATTTTCGTCCTCCTTTCCTCCTCTCCTAAATCCTTCTCCTTTCTCCTCCTCCTCCTCCTCCTCCTGCATCTTCCTTCTCCTCCTCCTCCCGACTGTCGCGGCCATGTGGTGTGGCTCTTGCCCCGCAAATGTAAGCTTGTCTCGCGCCCTCGAGGACGGCTTAGCCTCGTCCTCCTCTTCTTCTTCTTCTTCTTCTTCTTCCTCCTCCTCCTCCTCCTCCTCCTCCTAGCCCCGCTCCTCGGTCCGCCCGCCTCCATTTCCCTGGCACGTGAGGCACGTGGCCACCAAAAAAGACAATGGAATCGGCATCTCCCAGTTGATTTGCGTGCTTGGGAGGCCGACTATTTCTGCCACCATTCGTGGCACCCTAGGCGTAGCAGAGATCACTTGAGCCGGGATCTGCACTGCGGTCAATGTACCACTGGAATCCCTAAGTTGCACTCGCTGTCTATTCCCAAGGCTGATTGATGTATTCAAAAATAGTGGGGGAGGTATGGAGTAGGAGAGGGGTGGAGGAGACGGCATTCATTGTGTGTGCCCGGCCGCTTTCTCTGCAATGTGTTGTGGATCGATCGCTCTGATGCCGCAGCGCATGTTCGAGCGCAGCAGCGCGCGACACGAACAACGGCTGAGTGTAGCCCCGCTCCTCGGCCGTAGTGGAGGGCTTATGCGGCACGTGGCCACCAGGGCAGATTTATCATGGAGTCGGTATCTCTCAGTTGAGTATGTGTGGGAGGCCGTCTCCTTCTGCCTCCAGTTGTGTTGCCCGAGGTATTGAGGGGGAGGTCTGGTCCAGTGTGGTTGGGGGGTGGGCAGTTGGTGGAAGGAGGACGTACGAGTCGACCGCTAAGTGCGTGTTGACCGCCAGAGCTATGCTTCACCGGGTTTCTGAGCAGTATATTGATCATCACCTTGATATCGCGGTGTATGCTCGAGCGCACCAGCGCCTGAGACGAACAGAGGCTGAACGTAGCCTCGATCTCCTGTCCGCTCTGCTTTCATTTTTTTGGTACGTGAGGTAAGGGCCAACCAAGACAGACTAGAGAGTTGGTCTGCATGCATGGGGGGCCGTTTCCTTTTGCCACCAGTCGTGGTACCCCGGGCGTTGCGGGGAGGTTTGGAGTAGTAGGGGTCCAAGAATTGCCGCACGCGCCTGCACCGCCTCAGACCAGCCAGTCCAGTCTGAGCCAGCCTCGCTGTCATTTTGATGTTTTTCTTGATACTGCCAGCCTTGACTTAACTTGGTGGGTGGGGGCTGTTGTTGAGGTGGAGGAGGAGAAGGAGAATATTCCTTGCTTCACTTGTGCCTGCAGCGAACTGAATTATACGCTTTTCCATTCTTCTACAGCCGCGAGGCGCCTTCCCCTATTCCGCAGTGTTGCAGGGCACAGGCCTGCCGCTATTTTTCCCCCAGTTCACGCGACAAGTTTGTTCTTCGGGTCCGATCAGCGTTAAAAAAAAAGCTTCAAGACGGCCGAGCCGGGCCCCACGATCGCCCACGAGAGCCCCAAGAGAGCCCATAATGGAACCAAGAGGCCCCCCAAGGGCTCCCAGAACAGACCCAAAAGGGCCATGGGAGGTCCCCGGAAGTGCCCAAGATGGGTCCAAAGGGGGTTCCAGCGGGCCCAAGCTCCCCAAGACGGCCCAATAAGGCCCCAGGACGGCCCATGAAGGCGCCAAAACGGCCCACGGGGGCCCCAAAACACCCCCACGACGTTTCCGAATGCCAACATAAAGACCCCCAAGGCACTCCAAAAAGCTTCCCAAGGGGCCTTCAAAGCACAAACATCGTCCCAGTCCCTTCGTAAAACTTACAATTTTAGCATATTCGCTTTTCGGATTTCATCAGCTTTCAAGACGGTTTCAAAGCCCCCGAGATCGCTTCAAAACGCCCCAAAAGGCCCCCAAGAAAGCTTCAAGACGGCCGAGCCGGGCCCCACGATCGCCCACGAGAGCCCCAAGAGAGCCCATAATGGAACCAAGAGGCCCCCCAAGGGCTCCCAGCACAGACCCAAAAGGGCCATGGGAGGTCCCCGGAAGGATGTTAGGCTGATTCCCGATCTGTTCTAGACTAGATCGTGATCTAGTCCGTTCGAGGTGAACCCACTTCGCCTGATGCCTGATGCACGATTTCGTTTAGACGAGATCGTGATCTGGTCCAGCAGACCTCTTCCTCGTCACAATGGTCTAGATCGGGATCTGGTCCAATCCCTCAGGGCCGCGCCAAGGCTGGGGAATCCTCTAGGGCCGCGCCAGGGCTGGGGAATCCTCTAGGGCCGCGCCATGGCTGGGGAATCCTCTAGGGCCGCGCCAGGGCTGGGGAATCCTCTAGGGCCGCGCCAGGGCTGGGGAATCCTCTAGGGCCGCGACAGGGCTGGGGAATCCTCTTTGGGCCGCGCCAGGGCTGGGGAGTCGTCTAGGGCCGCGCCAGGGCTGGAGAATCCTATAGGGCCGCGCCAGGGCTGGGGAATCCTCTTTGGGCCGCGCCCGGGCTGGGGAATCCTCTAGGGCCGCGCCAGGGCTGGGGAATCCTCTAGGGCCGCGCCAGGGCTGGGGAATCCTCTGGGGCCGTGCCAGGGCTGGAGAATCCTCTAGGGTCGCGCCAGGGCTAGGGAATCCTCTAGGGCCGCGCCAGGGCTGGGGAATACTCTAGGGCCGCGCCAGGGCTGGGGAATCGCCAGGGCTGGGGAATCGTCTAGGGCCGCGCCAGGGCTTGGGAATCCTCTACGGCCGCGCCCGGGCTGGGTAATCCGTTTGGGGGATCCTCTTTGCCGCGCCAGGGCTGGGGAATCCTCTAGGACCGCGCCAGGGCTGGGGAATCCGTTTGGGGAATCCTCTTTGCCGCGCCAGGATTGGGAATCCTTTTGGGCCGCGCCAGGGCTGGGGAATCCGTTTGGGGAATCCTCTTTGGGCCGCGCCAGGGCTGGGGAATCCGTTTGGGGAATCCTTTTCAGGCCGTGCCTCGGCTGGAGACTCCTCTGGGGCTTCGCCGCGGTTGGGGAATCTTTTTCCAAATCCTCCCAAACCCGCCCAATCCTGCCAAACCCACCCAAATCCTCCCACATCTTCCCAAATCCATCAGAATCCCTCCACATCCTCCCGAACCCACCCGAATCCTCCCCAACCCACCCAACATCTTCCCAAATCCTCCCCGATCCTCCCCAACCCACCCACATCCTCCCAAGCCTGCCCAAAGTCTACCCAATCCTCCCAAATCCTCCCAAATCCGCCCCCTTCTCCCAAATCCTCCCAAATCCGTTCAAATCCTCCAGTACACACTCGAATCCTCCCAAATCCACCCAGATCCTCCCAAACCCGCCCAAATCCTCCCAAACCCACCCAAACCTTCCCAAACCCACCCAAATCCTCCCCAATTCACCCAAACCCATCCAAATCCACCCGAATCCCCCCAAATCCTTCCAAACCCACCCACATCCTCCCAAATCCATTGAACATATTTTCAGATCCACCCAAAAGGACGCGCGACTGGACACGGAAACGGTACTTGCAATGGGCCGTCTGGGAGGGGGAAACTATTGTTGTTTTTCTGATTTTTCGGGTTCCGATTTTTTTTTTGTTTCCGACCCGTCCTCCTCGAAATGCGCGGTCGGACGCGCAACCGGCCACGGGAGCGGTACTTGCAATGGGCCGTCTGGGAGGGGGATTATATATATATATATATATATATATAGATTTGGTTTGTCTGGTTCCCACTTGTTGTTCCTGTTTCCGACCCGTCCTCCGCGAAATGCGCGCGCGGACGCGCGACTGGACACGGAAACGGTACTTGCAATGGGCCGTCTGGGAAGAGAATGTACGTATTACTATTGTTTTTTTTTTTTTCAGTTTTTTCGGGTTCCGATTTTTTTTCCTGTTTCCGACCCGTCTTCCGCGAAATGCGCGCGCGGACGCGCGACTGGACACGGAAACAGTACTTGCAATGGGCCGTCAGGGAGGGGATTTGTTTTTTCGGGTTCCGACTTTTTTTGTTGTTCCCGTCCTCCGCGCGGTCGGACGCGCAACCGGCCATGGGAGCGGTATTTGCAATGGGCCGTCTGGGAGGGGGAAATTATGGGCTGTTTCTGGTTTTGTCGGGTTCCGACTTTTTTTCCTGCTTCCGACCCGTCCTCCGCGAAATGCGCGCGCGGACGCGCGACTGGACACGGAAACGGTACTTGGGCCGTCTGGGAGGGGGACTTTTTTGTTGGCGGGTGGTTTATCGGGTTCCGACTTTTTTTCCTGTTTCCGACCCGTCCTCCGCGAAATGCGCGCGCGGACGCGCGACTGGACACGGAAACGGTACTTGCAATGGGCCGTCTGGGAAGAGAATGTATTACTATTGTTTTTTTTCTTCAGATTTTTCGGGTTCCGACTTCTTTTCCTGTTTCCGACCCGTCTTCCGCGAAATGCGCGCGCGGACGCGCGACTGGACACGGAAACAGTACTTGCAATGGGCCGCCTGGGAGTTTTTTTTTTTTTTTTTTTTTTTTTTTTTTTTTTTTTTTTTTTTTTTTTTTTTTTTTTCCGGGTTCCGACTTTTTTTGTTGTTCCCGTCCTCCGCGCGGTCGGACGCGCAACCAGCCACGGGAGCGGTATTTGCAATGGGCCGTCTGGGAGGGGGAAATTATGGGCTTTTTTTGGTTTTTGGGGTTCCGACTTTTTTTCCTGCTTCCGACCCGTCCTCCGCGAAATGC